ATATCAAAAAGTCTAAGATAGCTCTCATGGAATGGCCAGCAAACTCTCCTGACACCAACCCAATAGAAAAAGTATGGGCATATATGAAGATGAAGTTGGATCAATATCCAGACAAGCCAAAGAATATGGAGGACCTTTGGGATCGGGTTCAAGACGTATGGGCACAAATCCCTCCTGAATTCTTGGAAAAGCTATATTGTGACATGCCAAAGAGGATGAGGGAGTTATATAAGGCAAAAGGAGGAAACATCATTAAGACAGAAGAGAAGTAACCGAAATAAAGAGAACAGGAAGTTAAAAATTAACTTAACAGATGCAATAAGGTATTGCAAGCAAATTGCGATTAAATGCTAATTGCGACATTGATGAGGATGGTGATGACAGTCCATGGAGGTGAGACAAATACGAATGAGAAACAGCGATGACATGGAAGATCATTAGAAAGAAAAAGGAGAATGAGGAATGAATGTCCAAAAGTGCAATTTATTGCATTAGTACTGAAATGCACCATATATATGTATGAGCGTTGCTTATAGCGACGCCAAGACATAACGCGTCAGGGCGGCGTAGTATATAACATTCTAAGTTTGGGCAAATCAACAATTATCCTTCATAGTCCAGCGACCCTTTCCTGTGTAATCTTTCTCTTTAATAAATCTCGAGCTACAGAACTACCCTTAAACTAAAAATAAACTTTTTTATTTTTTTTTTTTTTTAAATTCTCTCTGCTGGCTGATCTGGTACTACATCTTTCTTTTTCTCGAGCTTCCGGAACACGTCCATCTCCATAGAAAAATGAACTTCAACGATAACAATGTCCACAACACATACACTGCTTCTAACTCTACGGACGGCAATCCCGGTCCTTCGATCCTGGAGGGCAACCCCGCTCCACCATCCACCCTACCCAGTAACACTTCCCTTCCAGAAAACAGATATGCCCTCCCTCCGGAGATCCTGCAAGCTATCAGTGCTCTCACGCAGTTCTCCCAGAACGGAGGCGCGTTCCACCAGCCAGACACACCAATCCAAGACCCATTTATGCGTCGCGCGGAGCCCCTGTGCTACCTGGCACCCTACGAGGATTTGGAACAGGTCATGCCTTCCCTCAAGAGACGAAAAGAATTCCACACAGTTAAGTTTAATGACGAGGAACAACGTTACTACGACATTAGCCAATTTCCAAAAGTGGAAGATATGGAATACACACCTCCAGCAATCCCCAAAGAATGGGCTATTTCCGATAGTCTCAAGAATGCTGATCAGAAATTGGTCACACTGGCAACAAAAGCAGCACACATTACGAGGCCACTCGCTGCAACAGCGCATGCACTTGTCTCTCAAAACGGTAAGGACGTTCCAGTACTACATATCCTCCGCACCCTGGATACAGTCCAAACTCAAATATCCATGCTCTGCGAGCAGATCAATAAAATCCGCACTGAAGCATTCTACAAGGAAAAGAAATTTATCACTCCTCCAGACACATCGACCAGACGCCAACTGGTCGAAACAGCCGATTTACTTGAACATGCCAAGCTTTCGCAAAATGTCAAGAAATACAGCAATCCTAACCGAGGTAGAGACTACCGAGGCAGGCAAGGTCGCTTTGGAAACAATTCAGCTACTCAAACACAGCAGTATCAACAAGCGACCCCTCAGACTCAAAGCCAACAAACAACGCAACCACAGCAAAATAATAATTACGGCTTGGGCGGCCAATTTTTTCGGAGCTCCCCTTCCACACGGGGAAGGGGACAAGGAAGGGGGCGCCAGTAGGAGGTCGACTACACCTCTACCAAACAGCATGGAATCTATTAACAGACGAGAAATGGGTACGCAGAGTTATTCAGAATGGATACGAAATCCCGTTCGATTCGCTACCACCAATCAGCAATACAACAACACACAGCAGCGTCCGCTCCAAAGAAGAAATGAAGACGATAGAACAAGAAATTGTAGCATTATTAGCCAAGAAAGCCATAGAGGAAGCTTCAGAACATGGGTTCGTGAGCCGCATCTTTACTATTCCAAAGAAAACGGGGGATCTACGCCCCGTATTGAACCTAAAGCCACTGAACAAATTTATTTCACCCCCTCATTTCAAAATGGAATCAATGAAGACGGTTTGCAATATGATAAACAAAAAGGATTACATGACGAGTATAGACTTAGAGGATGCCTTCCTACATATTCTAATACACCCCGAATCACGCCGGTTCCTTCAATTTCAATGGAAGGAGAAAACTTACCAGTTTCGGGTGCTCCCCTTCGGGCTGTCGTTAGCCCCTTACGTATTCACCAAGATGCTGAAACCAGTGCTGAAATGGGCCAGAAGGAAAGGGATAAGGATAGCAGCGTATCTGGACGATATCCTGATAGTAGCCTCATCACAACAGTTGTCGGAGATACATACCGAGATGGTTCTCCAGCGACTAGCATCCGTAGGATTCAAGGTGAAGGAGTCGAAATCACATCTAAAGCCGACACAGACAGTCCAACACCTAGGATTCACAATCGACAGCCGCAAGATGACACTGTCGGTACCCAAGAACAAGATCCGAGATGTCCGCAGAGAGGCATCCAAGATGATAAAGAAAGGAGAAATGACTCTGAGAGCATTAGCATCATTCATAGGCAAAGCTCTGTCCATGACAGCAGCAGTCCTTCCAGCACGACTAAGAACTCAGAACCTCACCCAGCTGAGAAACGAAGCTCTCCGACAAGGGAATTCATGGACGGCATCTATTTCGTTGACGACGAAAGCCAAGGAGGACCTCCAGTGGTGGATAACCAATTTGCGAGAATGGAACGGCCACACTTGGATAACCCAAACCCCTCAAGAGGAGATATTCACGGATGCGTCCGACACGGGCTGGGGAATAGTCCACAAGAACTATCACTACTCAGGAGTATGGAACCAGTCGGACCACAGCCAACACATCAATTGGAAAGAACTGATGGTAGTATGGTATGCCACCAAGCTACCTCAATTACAAGGCAAACGAATTCACTTGTACTGCGACAACACAACGACGATCGCGTATGTGAACAAATTTGGAGGAACGAAGTCACCACAGTTAATGGAACTTGCGGAAAAGATTTGGGAACATTGCCTACAGACAGGGACAATGATTTCGACGTCCTTCGTACCATCGGAGTTCAACCCGGCGGATCCACCCAGCCGGCAATTAAACACCCAACTAGAATGGAGCCTCAAACCCGAATGCTTCCAAGCCATAGACAAACTATGGGGACCACACAAGATCGACCTATTTGCCTCTCACAAGAACACTCAACTTCCGACATACATGTCGTGGAAGTACGACCCGTCCGCCCTAGCGCAGAATGCGCTACTGCAACCATGGAAGAACTTGGGCAGATTATACATATGTCCACCATGGAACCTGATTCCCCAAATTCTGGACCGTCTAAAGAGAGAGCGCCTCAAAGCCACGGTGATCACACCCAATTGGACAGGAGCGATATGGTACCCGACTATCCGAGCGATGACCACGACGACGCCACTCAATCTAACACGAGCAGCAGTGCACTCATCCTCGCCACGAGACCCGGGGATCCTGAACAAGAACCCGGCATGGTGCTTGCTAGCCTGGAATATCGACGGCGCCAAGGTCTCTTGGAGCAAGGCCTCAACGAGGACGCCGTAAAGGTATTACTTGACTCGGCCTCAGAGACTATAAAAAGTCAAAAATATAACCATATCCAGAAAGGATACATCAGTTGGTGCCAAAGGAACCATATTGACCCCGCTAGGGCCAACCCAACAGCACTCATCAACTACTTTGCTTGGGGTAAACGAGCTAAAGGTTGGTCACCTCAGACGATTTTAACGTATCGAGCACATCTCAAAGGCCTATACCCAGGTTCAAAAGTATTCGAAGACGACTATACGTTCAACAAATTCTTCAAAGTCCTTAAAGCCAATCAAGTCTGTCCTGCTAAAGATATAGATATCGACATTACGCCAGTTCTCGACTACTTCCGAGCTCTAGGTGACAACGATACCATTTCACCCATGGAATTGACCAAAAAATTGTGTTGGCTATTAGGCATGTGTTTATTTCTTCGACCTAGCGATATCGAACGTATCGACCTCTCACGTTGTAAAGAAACTAGACAAGGAATACACGTCTACGTAGTAAGACCGAAACAGACAAGGCAAGGAGTCCACCAAGATACATCCTCTCTCCTTTCCATCCATACACTTGACCCACTATTATGTCCGGTTGCCACATGGAAGACTTATGTACGACGATTAGTTGGCCGCAATCTGAAATGGCCACATCCAACGCTCCCAGATCTATCATATAACCCTCTCATTCGCTACGTCAACGAACCAGACTCACCTACAGGAGCGGAACGAATAAGCAACCACATCAAGAGTGTCATGTCCCTTGCTTCCATGCCATCACAAACTCGAATTCCTAAGGCACGCGCCGCTGGTTCCACACTAGCAGCCCTCAAAGGTTCCGACCTGGATGAGATCGTCATGCAGGGCCGATGGGCCTCGCAAGAGGTTTACAAGAACTTCTACCGGTTGTCAAGTAGAACCAGGTGCAATTTCACAACAACCATTCTTAGCTGATCTCTGGAGTCACAGGAAAGGGTCGCTGGACTATGAAGGATAATGGATAGCGAAGACGACAAAGGAAGTCTTACGCTCATTATCCGTACCAGCGACCCTTTCCTGTCCCGCCCACAGCCACCCAAGGAGCATACGATTCTTAGCGGTCGAAAAAGAAAGATGTAGTACCAGATCAGCCAGCAGAGAGAATTTAAAAAAAAAAAAAAAAAAGTTTATTTTTAGTTTAAGGGTAGTTCTGTAGCTCGAGATTTATTAAAGAGAAAGATTACACAGGAAAGGGTCGCTGGTACGGATAATGAGCGTAAGACTTCCTTTGTCGTCTTCGCTATCCAAAAGATTGCTCTGACCTGCTACGCCTTGTCTCTCAATAAAAGAAACAAATGTTTAAGTGGGGCTGAATATCTTTTGGCGATACGAACAAAATCAAGATCAGTGATTATATGATTCGAATCAAGTAAGAATAAGTGTAGGCTGTAGCTTATTTATCAATGGAAAGGATTGACGGTCTAGACAAGACCATTCACGAGCAGAAAAATATTATCAATGCTCTTTTAGAGAGGATACAAAGTTTCGATGCTCAACACACCTTTAGGTCTAGCCCTTCGACTCAAGACAAAGGGAAGGCAAGGGCTGAGGAGCTGAGGATTGTTGGAAGGGGCTGAGGATCTTTAGAAAAAAATGCTCTTTGTGCTCCATTTTGTATGAATTGATAAAATCCAAATAACACTCTGTGAAGAATGGAAAGAGACCGTTTCTGGATTTATGACCATGCTGCCATGAGGCAAGCAATCTTCGTATGTGGGGAGTGTATGAATGGAGATAGTGCGAAATAAATGTTTATCAAACTAAAAATTTTTTTTTTTTTTTTTTTACGCATGTCAAAATCTCAATCATTCATTGGTCCATTAGATCTGAGGATCACGCCATTTGCATTGAATCTCAATGGCGAATGAGGATGAAGCATGGATGGTGAGGGATGGATGATTGTCATTATAAATTGATTGTCATTTTTTTCATTCCTCCATTCCTCATTTCACTCTTCTCAAACTTTTTGATCTTAACACTCTAGCACTTCCAACACTTCACATACACTTTTTACAAGTTCTTAACACTAATTTTTCACCATATCTTCCAACGTTGTTTCCCCTAAAACCCTTTCCACCTCTTCCGCTGCTCAGGATAAGGGCAAAAACCAATCTGTTCAGGAGAAGGGTGAAAACCATATCACCCTCGACTATTCGCTAACCAGCATTGGGGAAAGTAGTGGAAGTGAGGAGGAACGTGGACGTAAGAGGATTCTCAAGCTCAGGAAGGATCCCATACTCAGTTTGGATCCCTATGCTGATCCTGCCTTAGAGCAGTACAATCGGCATCAGCGTATGCTAAAGAAGGGGTTGAGGGATCTTTCTCGATCCCCTTCCTTGGAGATCGGTTCCTCCACTCATACCGTTTCCTCCAGTGCCACTGAGACTGTGCTCGGTCGAAGGAGCCGCAGCGAGACCGATGACGAAGAGGCTGAACCTTCGAGGCGTCGTCAGCGTATTAGCAAGACGACGCAGGAACGCCTTGAGGACACTGTCAGGGCCCTCTGCAAGCGGGTTAAAGAGCAGGATGAGAGGATACTGAGTTTGGAAGTTGATATAGAGCTTTTGAAGAAATCCATTCCTTCTCCTACTGTTCGTCGTAGTGGTAGAAATCGCAAAGGAAAGAAATAAATCTTGCGATTGTTGAAATGAATATACTTATCTTATGCGGGATGTATGATAAATATGTAAATATGATGAGGAAAATGATAGTTGAGATGATATGAATAGTATGAATAGGTCCTCATCCCCGCTTAATAAGGGTTTTGTCTTTCTACGTTAAAAAAAGTGAAATATGCCAGGATCATAATAAGTAACGAGAACGAAAGAAAGATGTGTTTATTATGATCCGGGGATCTTCGTTAAATAAAAAGGGTAAAAATCTTAGCTATAGTAAAAATCCATGTAAATGACTGCTAATCGCAACAGTCCCTTACCTGTCAATGGTCGCTGTGACAATAACGTGGATAGTCTCCTCAGGCAAAGGCGCTGTGCCAAAGATCTCGGAGATCTCACCTATTGCCTGCCTCGAGGTCATTTTCACTGCATTCGGCCTGTGCTCCTCTAACAAAATTGGTTTGTCCTCTGTCTCGTCGTCATCAATATCCATTGGAATAAAGAGTTTAATTCTTTCGGTTGTCATTTTGTATAATCGCGTACTGGAAAATAACTGATTTGAGGGCAGCCAAGAGCGAAAAGGAGTGAAATGTTCTGTGTTATAATTGGATTGTTATTGGAATGAAGAGAAGTAAGAAAGCGGTGGAATGAGAATAGAGATGAAAGAAAGAAAGCTGGAAATGCAGTGATGTCACTCACTGCGCTGCACTTATGCTGGCAGGATATTTAATATCACTCCAATAACTTTTTTTTCCCTCCCCAGTAAATATAAAACAGCGCAATAACTTTGGGCTACACTTTTTCTACTTTTCCCTTTAATACAGTAGCTCACTTCCATTTCTTGAATGAAAGACTCCTTTGCTTTGTGCTAAAAGCAGAATGTAAAAGACACTCAAAAAAGCAAAAGGGCGGGTGGCAGTTGAGTCTGGTCAGAAAGTGCTGCGCACGGTAAACCTTATTGATTTTACCAAAAAATAAAAAAGGATTGGTGATGATTATTTGTTTTAGAGAAGCAAAAAGTATTCTAGCCTTATTCAAAAATATGTTAATTTAAATGCAAAACAATATCCCTGCCACACACCATAACAATCTTTGCACCATTTAACATTTCTTGGGAAAATGAACCCTTCAAGAGGACCCCGTTGGGCTTCATGATAGCATAGTCGCGAGAATGATTTCCTAAGGAGCCGTTTTCAGTGCCGATAATAGTTCTAGCTCATGAAAGCGACGAGGACTGTGAAGATGATATGAGGCCAGGTAAATGAAGCGATGCACAGCAGCAATCCCAAAGAACCGGCAATCCATTTAGTTACTTTTACAAAGAATTCTCAGAGCCTAGCCTAAGGTGCTACCTGAGGATCCAGAGCCCGTCTTTACAACCATACGGTGGCTTATTTGTCGAATAAGGAATAAGGTTCAAATATATTTTTGAATAAGATAGAATACTTTGTTTCACTAAAAAAACGAGATTTTTTTTTTTTTTTTTTCACACGTCGTAATTACATCTCTTACAGCTCCATCATCATCCACATCCTGTCCTCCATTACACCCTTTTATTTGATCACAGTTCTTTTACCCTCATTAACTTCATAAAAAAACTACAATTTATCTTTTCAGACTTTTAATTATTCTCATTAATTATGCCATTATTACATAGATTCTCAATAATAAACTTTATTCATTCATAAAAACCATTCCGTGTTATTCTCTCTCTCTCTCTCTCTCTCTCTCTCTCTCTCTCTCTCTCTCTCTCTCTCTACGTACTTCATAATCCATGTCTATCAATAGAAAACTATCCTTCATCCATTCGTTCATCAGTCCGCCTCTCAATTATACGACATTCAACAGGTAACCTGTGTTTGCATTAATAAGTGTCATTGAGTGTTCTACAAATACATGAACGCGTTCTTAGCAGAGCTTGTTTCGTCCTCGGCAAGACGAGGCGGAAAGACGGGTTAGATGATGCGATCATATAAAATCCAACTCTCTGATATAGCGGTTCTGACTTTAACGCCTATAGTTTTTGAATCTATTTCCAATGATTACAATCTGCATTTTAGGGGGCAATGCTGTCATGAATCAGACTTATTGACGAGGGTTTTATTTCGAAGCCATACATTGCTTGGTTGACATGGGGGGATAGTATTTCAATACAAGGCTTAATCGTTTATAAGGTCAAATACACTGTCTATCAATGCACGACAACGCTTATCACAGCGGCAATATATATATATGGTATAGAAAGGAACTCAACTCATGGCAAAGTTTTTTTTTTTTTTTTTTTTTTTTTTTTTTGGGGGGGCGTCGAAATAAGCGAAACATGAAATTCAAATATCAACAAACATGGCTGTGGAGGAGGAGATCATAGAAGGTAGCAACAATCTCAGACAAAAATACTCAGCCGAACATTCTAAAGCCGAATGCTCTAAGGCTGTAGGGCAACAGACAAACTCACAAAGTAAGTAACTCATTGTCAATTATTATTATTATTAATATTATTATTATTGTTATTGTTATTGTTATAATCGACCTCGCTTACTGACATAGTTATTTTATTACAACTTCAAAACCATTGTTCTTCTAGAAAGTTCTTCACAGTCTAATGCAAGAGAGCCACTGCTTCCCGCACGTTCTCTATAAAGGAAACGATTACTTGATGAAGCGGAAGGATGACAATCAGGAGGATGTAGATGACTTATCTGAAGTGGAGACACTAGACCAGTCTGATGTTGAGACCGATGAGGAGATATTCAATATTCCGGATGAACCTTTTGATTCCGAACCTAACTTGCAGGAAGAGGAAGGGACATCGTATAGAGCTACGAATGAGAGTGTAACACATGAGTCTGCAACAAGACCACAGAAGAAGAAGAAGAAGAAGAAGAAAAAGAAGAAGACAGAGTCGGCATTGGTAAGTCACTAAAATTAACATTCAAGAGCTGGAGCTGGAGCTGGAGCTGGAGCTTATCCAAAAAATAACATTCTTCTTGTTCCCTTTCTTTAGTTTGAGTCTCGGGGAAAGGCGTCATTCATTTACAAAAGCGATATAAATCTCTTAGTACTAAATGGGTACGCTACCCTTCAATCTCTGAGGCTTCCATATCGTACCTGGAAACTTTTGATCAAGTGCAGACAATGTCTACAAGAACTTGAGCCATCCCTTCAAATTAGGTCTATAGACACAAAGAAAGCCAGTTGGTTCACCAATGTCTCCTTGACTGGTAAATTATTGTTATTTATTTGTGATACTGTATGTATCTAATCTTTTCTGTCAACTTGTATTTTTAATTCGCTTCTTTTCTCACTTACATTTAGGTTCTATATTTTCAAATGTTCCACTCAGTCACCTATTGCCACTGCGAAGCATTTACCTGAGAAGTGATGACAAAGATCGTGCATGGAGTGTCATTGGACTTCTCAACCAAGGTGTGGATATATGCCTTGTTATACCCAGGCGATGTGACTGGAATTGAATCAACAGAGAGACGAAATAGAACTCGCTACACAGGAAATACCCAGGCCCTTCCACGGAAAAGGATGGGTGTGTGTGAGGATTCATTTTGGAGATCATGTGAAGAACCTCAGGAAGATTGGGACTGTAATTGAGACAGCCAAAGCATGAAGTACCTCAAGTACAAAGTACATCATCGAAAGCTCTAGGAAACTACTGTGCCAACTACACGACATCTTG